TGATGGTGCGGATGTTGTGGCTGCGGCGCCGGGGGTGGTTGTGTGGGGTATGCTCGATAATCCACAGGTTGGTCGCGCCGAGCCATGTCAGGCTGTGGTGGCTGCTGTTGCGGCTGCTGTTGCTGTTGGGTAGGCGGCGGCTGCTGCTGCTGCGGCTGTTGCTGTTGCTGCTGTTGCTGAGCGCCGTAAGGCGATTGACTGTACCAAGCGGCATGGTTAGCAAAGGCATTCGGCGTCTGAGGCGACTGCTGGTGTTGCAGCGCGGGTATCGGCGGTATCGCCGTCGCCTGCAGCGGACGCCATGATGGAACGTTGTTTGCTGTCCGCTGTTTCTTCATCACAAGGTTCTGTGTCTGGAACTGCCTGGGCGTAAAAGCACCAGGGGTGGGACGGCGACAGCCAAGCGGAGCCGCGGCTTTGGTATAGCCAGGGGCAGACAGGAAGCGAGGCTAAAGGGCTAGAAAACAGGCGAGACGATGCTTTGAATCTCTGATGTTGTTCTCGAATTCTCCCCACGTGGTAGATCTGCTCTGGGTCCAAAGTGTGCAGGACGTGCTGGGGAGGGAGGAGTACATCGGGTACATAAATGTGGGAGGGGTTGGGACGGGAAGGTTGGGGCGGGTTTTCAGATACGAAAAGGTACAAGGGAACAAGGTACTTACTGGAGGTCGTTGGGGTGGTTGGTGGAGTTGGAGTAGAGGTACTCCTGCATAGGAGAAATCGTCCACTGATGCATGGTCTGGGATTGTGCGCCAAAACACGTTGTCAGCGATTAATATCCTTCAGAAGTAATAAAGAACTCGACCTGGAGCTCATAAAATGTTGCCATAAATAATTGGACAAAGAACAAAGAAAGTGCAGGGGAAAAAAGGACGCCTCGACCGGTCCGCGTTGCGAGGATTGAGTGTGTTTGGTACGCGGTACCCGTCAATCCTTCAGCCGCGCGACAGGCCGCCGGCTTGCCCGGTTGCGTGAGCGGTTTGCGGGTTTGCGGTGCATCTGGCAGCAAAAGCAGGCGACGGCGTATCTCATGCAGCAGAAGCACGCGTCAAGCCGAGCGCATCGGTCGCGCGCAGGCGATTTGCGAACATCGATGGAGGTCGATGGTATTATGAATGCGAATGCTGGGGAAGATGGGACGAACGGTACAAGGTGGGTGGTACTTACGGGCCGGTTGAGCGAAACTCACGGATGCATCAATCCAAGCGGGCAACACGCTTTTGTTGTGGTGGTGGTAGGAAAAGTACTCGTGAGTGACCCGCGGGCGGCGACTGGGGACGCAGCGTCAGGACATGCGGGCACAAGTACCTTGACCAGCGGCGGAAAAGGTGTCGGGGGAATCGGGGGCTGGGGCTGGGGGTGGAGAGAACCTGGGAGGATTCTGTGACCTCAGAGCGCAGCGCGGCCCTGGGGTGGATCGGGTTTTGTGCGAAGACCAGAGCGGGGATGGTGACTTTCGTGGCCAAAGCCTTTTTGTCACTGGACCGGGGGCTGCAAGCCACATGCAGGTGCCGAAATCTCGTCTCCGGGCCGGCAGCACTCTTTTGACGGACCGTCAACGCGTCTTCGAGGAGCCAAGCTTCGGTGCTTGTGTTACCAGCCAACAGATAATCACCGTTGGACCTCAAATGCCTGTTCTTGTTGTCGAATCTTGCTTCTTCGGGGTGCTTCTGTGATTCTGAGCTGCGCGGGTCGATGCAGAGGGCGTCGGCAAACCTGCACAATCCTTGGCGACGCCGTCAGCCCCTCAGAGTGGCACTCGCGTTTGTGATTGCCGTCGAAAAGATTGGACGGCGACAAGCAGATGGCGGGGAGGCGTCATGCGCGCGTGGAGGACTGCTCCAATCGCAGGAAAGCTGCTCCTTTGAGGCGGTGACTGTGCTCGAGGCGATGTGGAAACGGCAGGATGAAAGACGCGGAGTGCACTTTGTAAAGATTTGAAAGAAACCAGAGCGACTACCAGACAATCATGACATGTTGGAGCTTTGATGCCTTTGCTTCATCACAAGTACTTGGCTCGAAAGTCACGTCAGGTCTTGGCTGAGTTGATGTGCCCGTTGTGGTGGGGCGTGAGAGGTGCAGCTTCCTCCAATTCAGTTAGCTCAAGCGGGGCACCCAGAGGTCGTCGACCGCATTCGGACAGTCTGGGATATATCACCAATCGATTCAAGCATTGCAAAAGAAAAAGTCGGGAACATCTTTCAAGGTCTTTTTTCAGCAATTCCCCTCTTTATTCTAACTCGGTCGTTTTGAAAGCCATAACCTTTGAAGTTAGGTACTTGAGCACACCAAGCTCAAAGTAGCAAACCCAGCATCATATTTGACCACCAAGTATCACAGCATGTACCTTCCCTGCTTCCTGGCTTTCCTAGCTGGCTTGGCCGTTGCACTGGGCTCGGGTCCTGCACCGTGCCCCGCATTCGCATTAGCGGGGTCAGTGGGTGGGCAGCAGGACTGAACCGCGAGCCAGCCGCTAAGCAGAAACAGCAAAGAAGAAAATGCACTGATGGGCTTCCAACCCAAACAAGGCAGGCAAGGTAACCTAGGAAGGTAAATTACCCTTGGCCGTTGGTGATGACTCTGACTTTCAGGCCCCAGTGGATTACCAACTACAACCATTGGCCCGTGGAACGAGACATCAGCAAACACAATTACCGCCGAGGTACTTGATTCGAGCGGCTTACTGATGTACCGCGCCTGGCTACATAAAGCTTCGAGTGCATCACGTCAATCGACCTGCAGCTCGACCGGGGCTCTCTCGGCCGGCAAGGTCGGTAAAGGTGGAAACCTGGATCGCGGGCCGGTTCATGCCACGGTCCTCAACGGGGTTATTCGGTATTCGGGTCAGCAACAAACCCCCACGAGCACTCAGGCTGGTTATACTCGACGACGTCATTGTGGAACAAATGCGCGAGGGTTGTCGAAAGAAACGCGGACAGTCCAGACGCAGTATCTCGATGCGGTGACTACCACCTAAGCACTCGTGGGCGTTGCCATTTAATGCCGAGTCGGCGGGGGCTGGCTGTGTGTGCTCTGTTGGTGAATCGATGCCCCCATCCGATGCCCGTCTGACATTCATAACCGAGGCTGCTTAAGGCGCCACACGTATGGTCTAGCGCGCGGCTTAACTCTACCCGGGGGGAGTAATTTCGCTTCGGGATGGGTGCGCGCAGAGGATGATGATTCAAGGTGAACATAAACACCACCTGCAACAGCAGGCGCGATTCATTGTTTGGGTCATAAAACCAGGTTCAAGGTCGGCTTGTCGCCGCACATCTCGGAGAGCAAGTCGGCTGCAGGGGACCGGCCCGGCAGAGGGCATTGCCGGGACAGGGTTGGCTCTTCGTACCGTGTGTTGACTGGTGGAAGTAGATGCCGCCGTTGTTATTCTCCTCCTCCCTTGACCCCAGATCCGTGTTGCTCTCGGAGAGAAAACAGTTCGCGGTAAGACGTTGCAGGGCACTGGCACTGACCCTTGGCGCCCATCCCCATCGTCCTTCCGAGAGAGAAGCGAGATTTGGCGTGCCCTACTACCTAGGCATGTAGGGTTTTATGTGAGACATCATCGACGCAGAGGGAGGAAGGGCTTGCTGCGCAAAAAGACTCCCTTCTCGGCAGCTCGTTTTGCCAAACACACGCACACACGACACACCAGCAAGCCGCTCGATGACGCAGCATGTTCATGCTGTCTTACCAAGCTCTGTGGCGGGGGACCTCTTCCTGAAACAGCACCAGTTCCAGCATGTCAACATGGAGTTTGAGACGGAGCGCGCTTCTTGCAGAAAGATGGTGCGGCCTGCGGTCTGTGTGTCCTGCGGCTCACCCTCTTCGGCCGGGCTGACTGATTCGCTTATCGGACACATCCAATGATCAGTACCCTGGTTCCTGGCTTCCCCGGATCTGGGCTTCCCTTCCCCTGTTGGGCTTGGCGGCTTGACCATCTGGATTTCGGCATCATCACAATGTATGAAGTGGTATGAAGTAGGGGCAATAAAACATCACCATCCGATGTCAATTGTATTTACACTTATGCAGGTCGAACTTTCGGGCCATCCCGCACTCGTGCTTGTCCATCATAAGACGTCGAGTTGTGGTGACCGGGGCATCACGAGTGCAGACAATGTATCCATATCGGGCGGTGATCGGTTAGTTTGAACAGTGTGTTGAGGTTTATGCAAAGTTGCAAATCCTCGTGAGTGATCATGGTAAATAAGCCCCCGGTTCGTAATCCGCCCTGTCGCCCATGGTCATCGTGGGGCTTAAGGTCGTTCTAGAAGAGGAGGTACCGTTCCATGGTAGTTAATGGTTCGATGGAACTAGCCTAAAGGTTGGGGCCTGGGCTTTAACTCCCTCCGCCTACAATGGTTGAAACTTAGAAAAGAGCACAACCGCCATGTTTCCGTGAGCATCACTCGTTTTGTGAGGCTCTCTGTCATGCTTACCTTCCCGGCAGTTGTTGTTACCTGCAGGTGGACGATCTCAGCGGGAAACAGGTTCGGGATAAACCATCAGCAGAAAGCCTCTATTTTCATCATTGCCAAAAGTATAAAAGTGGTCCGCGCTACTTCATGAGAGAGACCAGAGGGTAAATAAAGAGCCGAAATTCGTCCGTGGTGGCATCAGGATGAGTGTCTTATCACATGTTATGACGAGATCTGACTGGGCTTAGCTTCAGCAGTCAAACGAGTAAGCGAAATCCAGTAAAAAATGCTCTGACAACACGCTGTGCGGAATATCTTCCAGCTTGGGCAACGACAGTGCGGAAAACCCGGTTGTTGGGGGGTTCGAGGCTCGCGAAGAACCCACCCACCATTGAGACCACCAGCGGCTTAGTGTTGCGATTGTAACGCAAGTATACTCCATTCAGAGATAAGATCGAAGCCGGTGAGTATCATATCAGACGTGACCAGGCAGAGATCCGCGGATCGTGTTCATGCTGATGTGCGATCTTTCGGACGACGCCCCTGATCCCCCGCGGAGCGATCCTGCGCACAGCACGAGGATCGAGCACAGCGTACTGTTTCGGACGGTGGACCCAGATGATCGAGAAGAGATGGACTCATATAGCCATCTAGAAGGCTTTCTCCCGGAAAAAAAAAAAGGAACGGACTTCCGGATGGATAGTTGATCGGTGTCCTGGTTACCCGGCTGAGTCAATGCGGCGCCTGCCGCAGATCCCTTGAACTTTTGAGATGTGATTGACGTTGAGGAGACAGGCGCCATGTGCTGCTTGGAGATGGCAGCTTGGTTGCACAAGAAACAAGCCCCAACGGTCCAGCACTCGCCGTGCCGTTGGCCCTATTTCCGAAGATGCATACCATGGTACGCGGGATTCGACCCCCAACCCGGGTGCCGTGAGGACATCAGTCAGTCTGGCGCCTCGACCCTCGCCATCAATCTTGGCTAGCGGCCGCAGATGGGGTCAAGTGGGCCGCTTGAGTTCCGTCACGCGCCTGGGCCCTAAAATATGAATGTGACAGGTCCATCGTCACACCGGACAATGCTGGACAGTGGCGACACTGTTTTTGCAGCAGCAGTCAAGGCTTGCTGGGGGCTGTCATCGGAATTGGCCGGGTGGCTGGCGACTAATAAGAAGTGAAATAAGCCGTCGAAGGATTCCACCTGGTGTGAGTCTGCCGCCTCCTTGGGCGTTTGTAAGGGGGTTGTTTTACCGCCCTCATTCCCGCCATCGTCCCGTTCCCCAGAACGGCTCAGGGAGAAATCCTGTTTTTCCTTTGGAGGATCGGGTGAAGCACATCTTCAAACCAAACATATGCGGCACCGATGGAGTGAAAGTTCCGGCTTAAAGACCGTAGAATTAGCTGCAGTACTCTCTCGGGAAGAGACGGGTGAAAACGCGGGCTTGTGTCGTCTGATGCCCGAATTTTAAAGTTCGGTTGCAGCGCCTCGTCTGGCAATCTTTCACTTGGGAGATGTTTCGGCCGTTTGTTTGCCGGTCCGGGGTTGGCTGGCCAGATCTCGTTGCCGGGTCTCGGTGCCGGGTCTGGCGAAGCAGGCGAACGATGTGGCCCGCAAGGCACAGCATCATCGTCCAGCATCGTCGTCCGGAGGGAGAGAATGGTTGTGGTGTGGGGTGACTGTGGGTCGGCCTGGACTTGGTGTGGGGAGGCCCGATTTGGCAAGGCCTGAGACACGGCTGAGGATGGCCCAACGGTTGGCGAGTTTTAGGGGACCTCCACCACAGCCGGAACAGATCGAAGCCTTGAAGCAGGGGGAGTGCAGGGGCATGTTTCCCTGCAACAGTTTCTTCGTATGATCGATTGAGAGATGTCTTTCAACCACCAGTTCTGAGTGCTGCTGCTATTGTTGTTGTTGCGACTGTTCCTCGATCGGAGATGGCCGGCCTGAGTTTAGAGTTTTGTCGCGTGAAAGCCTTGTGGCCAGAAGGTCCTTATGCGCCACTCCTGGGGTTTCTCGATCTGGGGTTCGGTTAGCAGGCCCGAGGGGGTCGTTGCGGTCGTAACTGGTGGTGTCTGCATGAAGAAGTTTTCCTGTGCCGCCCGTTGAGGGCATTTGCGTGGCCGCTTGAGAGAGCGCGTGGAGCCGCCGGCCACACGCGCCGACCCGAAGGCGTCTCCATGTCTGCACCTACACGCCGAGATCACCTTCATCGCACAGTTCCATCAGTCTGCTACTCGATAACCCCACAAGCGAACTGCCGGGTTCCTCGGGCGGAACGAGCCTACACAGCATGTGCAGAGTTTTTTCGGTGTTGTCGGCTGTCGCTTACCGATGGAGGTCTCGACAATTGGGTAGAAACATCGCCATGTTTCAACCGCAGAGATGTCAAACCAAACGAATGGAGTGGATGCAGCTGCTCGAGTCCACTGAGGAAAGGGGATCAAGCGCGGGGCAGCGGGTCCCCTACTTGCCTACACAGTACTCTGTACAGAGCCTCAGGGCTTCGAGAGTGGGGTATCATGGGGCATCATAGCCAATCATAGACGGTATGCCAGCACCAGGGCGGTTCTGTTACACTTGGCAGGGGCGACCAGCAATGGACCTCGTGTCAAACGTTGGACACAGACCTTTTTCCCTCGACGGAAACTGACTGAAACCTGTACCTCGAAACGACCTCGAAACTACCTCGACGCGACTCGGCAGATGGTGAATTGGATACCTTTTTCGCGCACATTCGTGGCGATATTCAGTGGAGAAATGCGTATCGAGAAGTCACTTTCTTGTCCCTCCGAACTTTGCCTTCCGATGCTCGCGATCCCCTCCTGCAGTTCTCTGCATTCAAGATGACTGCAAATCGATGGACCCCAAGGCGGCAAACGAAAATGCTTGACCCGAACACGCTCCTCGATAACCATCCCCGCGCGTGGCGACTCTGCCTCGAACCTGGCCGAATTCGGTCTCTTGCAGCCCCCATACAGAACACAAGACTAGCGCGGGATTCGGGTCATAACAACAACAAACACGGCGCCTCCCGTGGAGACGGATGGCGGTTGGCTGTTGGCGGATTGCTCCCAATAATTATCCGCTGTTGGTTGGGTTGCGGTTCTTTGCCTCGAGCTTGAGTCAGGCTCCAGCACGGAAACGGGCAGATCTCGTATCTCGACAAGACTCGTTCCTGGCAACCAGCGTTGTCCTTGTGCCGTTGCGGGAGATGTCCAGAAGTTTTGTTCTATCCATTCTGGGCAAGAGCATGACTTGTGTCAGACCCCTTTCGCCCGGAACTGCTCTCAACCGGGCATCTCTGCCTTGGCTGGTGGGTTGACAGGGGCCGAGCGCGATGGCGCATGCTCGTTTCGATTGTCCAGAACTGTCGTCTGTTGTTGGGATGATCGCGGCTCCGTCCCCATCTGCGATTTACAACCAACGTCGAACATAACGTCTGCGCGCAACTCGCTTGCCAACCTGCCCACTTTCGCTAGCCGAAAAGCCCTTTGCCATCACCAGCGCCTTGCGTGCTCGGTGCTGCCCCGGCCTGGCCTGACAGGGCCGTTCCGTGGGCCGTGGCACCCCTCCCCTGCACAACTCAACACTCCAGTGTAACCACCATCCCGGCCCCCTCCCCCCAAAAAGCGTCTCCACAAAGGTCTGTAACAGGCCGCAGGCCTGGGGTGTGCCCGCCCCCCTGGTCCGCCCTGCGGGACTGGATGAGCCTCATGCCGGACGTCATGCAGCCATAACTGCATTATTATCCATTGTCTCTCTTCCCTCCCCCACCGAGGCCCTCTTTTGCCTCTTTTACTCTATCTTCCCTACCTACCCACCAAGGTCATCTGTGGATATCCTAAACCTATCACTACGCTGTTGCGTGTGTCCTTTTCTTTTCTTTTCTATTTCTCTTCTCGCAGCTGACGTTGTCACTCTTTCACAACTCTTCACCAACTAGCTTGGCTGCCCACATTCTTTTAGGGGAGAAATACTTCGATTCTTGAACCGTATAATCTGGTCTATTATACTTGTCTTATTCGCTTGGTCGAACTTTCCTCGAGTAACCCCTCGAAACATCTCGGCTCGTTGTGTGTCTGGTTATCTTCCTCGACGACAGGTCTCTCGTTTCCTTCCAACGTGCGTTCACGATCTCTCTTCCCGGCATTGTTGAAAGGCTGTCAATCCTCGAGTCCTCCATCTCTTTGACGACCCACACCACAACGAGACGACTTCGAATCTTACAGCAGCTAGTTCTGCTTGTTCTTTTTGCGAACAACCATTTGTTACGACTTCCCTTCTTTCGACCGATTCGACGGAGTATTTGGGAAATAGTTGGGACTACAGGCGCCTGGAAACTGGGTCAGGATGTCTCCGGCGATGCAAATGACAGGGCAGCACGCCCCATACACACCTAGGTCAGACGCCATGGATCGTCACGATTATGGCATTACCAAGAATAGGAAGACGGCCTCCACAGGTGGTGGACGAGCGTGGAGTGAAGATGAGGTAAGCATCACGCCAGCAACCTCGTTGGCCATGTCGTTGCCAGAAGAGTGTGAGCGTTAACCACCGCCGCGTGTAGGAAGCTTATCTTCTCCAAACACGAATGCAAAAGATGCCGTATAAGCACATCGCCGCCTACCTGAAGAAGACCGAACTCGCATGTCGCCTTCATTACCACCAACTCAGCCACGGCAGCAACCGGCGCAAGCGGACCACTTCCATGTCATCGGGTTCTTCGAACAGCCACTCTCCAATCCTGCATGCCTCGATACCCTCGCCGATCCACGAGCACGGCGGCGCGCCTAGCCGGTCTGTTTCCCCTCCCGATTCGGCCTATAGCGCGATAAGTCCAGGCGGCATCCAGCTCCCCAGCATCATGTCAGCAACCGCTTCCACCAGCACCTCACCACGCCTCCCCACCATCCTACCCAAACCTGCTTCCATGAATCTTGCCATGTCGTCCATGAACGGCTCCAACTCCACGGGCACCTCCCCGACCGCATCGCGCGGCTATCCCACCCCCCTCCACGACACTCACCCGCCCAACATGGCACCCATGAACTCAACTGGGTACCGCGGCGGCGCGCCCAACCCCCCCGCGCGCGGCACCACCGCCGGCCCCCTCCGCCTCGACTGCTCCGCGCTACCCCCTCCTCCCTCAACCAACGGCCTCCCCGCCCCGCCCGGCTTCGCCGCAAGCCACCCCGTGGACATGGCCCGCCTCACCGCCGTCTACAACGCCCACCGCGCATCCTTCTGGGCCGCCGTCGCCGCCGACTACGGCCCCGGCGCCAACCCCCTCGTCCTCGAACAGGCCTGGCGCGGCACCTCCTCCGCCACTGCCCCCGGGTGCCCCCCATCCGGCAGCGCCAGCGCCGCCGCGAGCATGGGCATCGCCGCGCAGACGCCGATTACCCCGGTGGGTAGTCCGGATGATCAGATCTACTCGGCCGGTGTGGTGCATCATCACCATGCCGCTGCGCATGGGCATGGGCAGCAGCAGCAGCAGCATATGCATCATGGACATGGTGGTATGGGTAAGCCGGATAAGACAAGGATCAGTGCCATTTTGGGGATTGATGCGAATCCGAGGAGTCCGAGTGAGAGGGAGATGGTGAGGAGGATTGAGGAGGAGAGGGGGGCGGTGGGGGTGGGGATGGCTTGATTTTGTGTGTCAAGTGAAAGAGTATGTGTGTGTGGTGGGTTTCTTCTTCTCCTTGTTGCCTGTGTTGTGTGCCGTGTCGTGTCATGTTCTCTTCTTGTCAATCGTTTGTGGCCTGTGTTTTTTTGTGAGTGGTGGTTTGTGGTTCGGGTTGGGTGGCTTGGCTTGGCTTGGCTGGGGTTGACGGACAGGGGAAACACAGCGTGATGGGATGTCTTTGAACCTGCGATGGGTCAAAATGATGGAGATGAAGGGTATGGTTTCTTTTTTGGCCATGTTTTATGTTTTTATGCTGTTGTTTGTTTCTTGGCTTATCTTTGGTGTTTATATCGTGTCCCCGGTTATGTTTTCTCACTTCGCTGTACGCAAGGTTTACCCCCCCCTCCTCTTGTTGAGTTTTGTTACTCCTTGGTGGTTTTTCTGTCGGCCGGTGGAGGAGGGCTGGACGGGATGGGATGATGGATGAAACCACGACATCAACAACTGGGAAATGAACGACGATGCATGAGCACATCTTGGGTATGGTGTTGCAAATCCATGATCCCTGCCCTTTGTTTCCCTCTCCTCTCTTGGTAGCCGAAAGGTCACTTCACATGGGTTTTTAGCGATATGGGGGGCTTGGCTCGGGAGGATAGGAATAGCATTCCGGATGGCAGGGGCGGTTGGGGCGGACATGGGAGGGCGGCATCGTCGTGGTGGGTCAGGGATATAGCGTGCTACGGTGCTACTGGTATGGTAGACTTGCGTGGACCACGTTGGGCAAAAAATAGTTATTCGTTTTGGGCAAAATCAATATTACTAAGCAATCGAATATTGATTCGAAATGTGGAAAATATCTCGGCTCCCAATAGGTTCGCGGGTCCGCGGGGATTAACTACCCATGCAGTGCAGAAGGATTATCTAACTAATCGCAGAACATGCATCTAAGTTAATGCAGCGTCCGCCTGCACCACCCCCACCTCCCCCACTGCCAATGCTAGAGCTGATTACAGTACATCTGAATACCGCAAAGGGCATGCCTTTGAGGTTCTTGTGTGGCCCACTGCGTGGCACTTCGTACACTTCCTCGGAGCCCGACGGGGCTTAACTGCCTGGACCTGGGCCTCAACTATCTCGAACTGACTGGGCTCCCGCTTTGTACTTGATTTGGGGAGTGAGTTTTGAGCCCGAATTGGCTCAACCCGCTGGCGAGGCTCAAGAAGTAACTGTGGAGATCCGTCGCGTCTGAGGTGCCAGTGCGAATGGAAGTGGCTGAGAAGAAGAGGCTGGCCTTGAAGAGCGTCAAGTGCATGTGAGCATGGGAGCCTATAGACACGAGTAAAAGTACCCGTACAAGTTAGGGATGGAGGGCGGTCTGTCTTTGCAAGTAGCTTCCGTTCCTCGACCTTCCTTAACGTCTCGTGCGACACCCATCCTCGTACGACTCCATACAATGCCCCAGAAAGCTCAAGGGGAGTCCGAGTTTGTTGCCTTGTCTGGCATGCTTGTAACTCGGCAAGCTGGTTCTGGAGAGCAAGTTGGATTGCCTTCTAAGCCTCGAAGAGGTTGAATGTCGATCTCCTCAAGTATGACTTAAGGAGGGCGTGGATCCCTTCTACTCGTGAGGTAGCTGTATTGCCGAAATGAGTTAACTGGTCAACCCAAGCGCGTACAAGCTTCTCCTTGAATGGGATTAGCCACGTGGTCTTGATATACCCGACCTCGTTGGGGTGTTCAAGAGCGTATTTCTGTTGAAATTGTGCAAGTCGGTTGGCATACTCCTCTTCTGTTGGCGAACTAATGATCGAATGCCAAGAGTCGTAGAATTCTTTCCACTTCTCAGCCTCCGGGAATGCTGGTTGGCATCGGGCAAGGACTGCCTTGTTCGCATGCCAGATGCAGATGAGCGTTGCAGCAGAAGGGAAGAGCGCTGAAGCTGCATTCATGGCTGCAAGGCAGCGGTCTGTAAGAATTACAGATGGGAGAGTAGTATTGCATTGCTTGTACAGTGACTTTAACTGCTCAAGGGCCCAAGTGTAGTCTTGCTCTGTCTCGCCGCTTAGGAATGCAAATGCAATACAAAAAGACCGCTGTGCTGCATCTACGCCAATAATGTCGAGAAGAGACATGCTGTACTTATTCGTCTTGTATGTACAGTCAAGAAGTAGTAGCTTAGGGTAAGCTTGAAGGTAAGCAAGGGAGTCGGGATGCGCGAAGAGAACTGCTGTGACACGGCCATCTGGTGTAAACTGGATTCGACTCCAAAAGCCCTCCTTCTCGAGTTGGTTGGCTAGCGCATGGATCGGGCTCTGGCCTTCACAAGCATCTCGACGTACATCCGCGATCCGGTTGTAGATATCTTGCCGGGTAGCTAGCGAGCCACTTTGTCGTACAAGGGTCTGAATCTCTTTCGGTGCGAGACCAGCGTTCGAGAAGTCTGCAAGTTGTGAAGTGCCTTCAGAGAGTTGTCGATGAACTGGATGCGCGACTGGGTGTTGGCTTGGTTCATGGTTATGTACCGAGAATCGAGAATCGGGGCGGTGTTTAAGCACCCAACTACCATCGGACGACTCTTTAGCTAGGACCGAGAAGGGGCGGCTGGTCACTCAACTACTAGTTCTTCTCTGGCGACTGCTTGATGCCTCGGGTGGCCGGCGGCCTCGGTCGCAGGCGTATGTAACTGTCATTCTCCCGCTCTTCTCGGTGGTCGACTTTCCAGTCGTGAAGGCGTAACCTCTCGTTATAGCCCATGCATTGATTGCTTCAAACAAGGCGTTTCGAGAGTCGCAAATATTCTCAGGAGGGAGGCAGTCGTCTGCAAAAGAGGTGGCCATCGCGGTGGCGGCGGTATCGGTGGTGGAGGTAGACAAACAAACAAACAATTTATTCCGCCCGGCGGGTTTAACCCGAAAGGGCAACTAATACTAACTCAACCATAAATTTCCAAAGTTATGCCTTGATCTCCTTAAAGCCCATGCAGGTCCATTCTAGCGTGTTCGCTCCGTTCTACCATTTTTCTTCGGATTCTCGTGGGTTGGTAGGATTAGTAGTAGGCTGGCTTGAAGGCGATTCTCCAAGTGTTCAACGTCCTATCTTCGGCGGCTGAAGCGGTGCCTGCTGTCCGGGGTACGAGGTGATGGGGGGGGGGTTAGGTCATGGAGAGTAGTGGGTGATCACTTAGGTGTTTTAGTCGGTCTGCGGCGGGTTTGCGTCGAGTCGACCCGTGGCCATTGCGAATCGTATCGTCGTCCGAACGGCCTCTAGGTTCGGAGTCCAGTCTTTGCCATCCGATGGTGATTTGCCTCCTAGATAAAAGGAAATGTTGCCTCTGTGCGTATCTGTGCATCGGAGTATCTCTGTTCTGAGCGTGGTCCATGTTCTGCATCGGAAGAGGAAGTGTTCTACTGTCTCTGCTGCTTGCCCACATGCGCACTGATCTGACGGTGCTGCTTTGATGCGATGCAGGTATGCGTTGAGCTTGGCCATGCCTGTTCTAAGCTGAGCAAGCACGCCAGCCTCTCTTCGAGACAGGTCGTCGTATAATAGTCGCGTATGCTTCCCTGGTAACGCTATATCGACTCTCTTGGAATGTCCGCCAACTTTGTCAGGTAAGGACGTGGGCGCTGCCCGCTTTGCCCATGCGATACGGAGGGCTGTTGGCCGCATGGCCGGATCCTGGGTTTGCGGCGTAGCGTCTCGCCGCGTGGCTTCCTTTGCTTTCGCTTTGGCTGTGTTTAGGAGCTCGTCTTTTGTACCCGCTTGGATCCAGACGACCGAGATCGTGTTTCCCGCGTTGCGTAAGGCACTTATCGCATCGTACGCCTGACGGAGATATTGTTGCCCTGATTACCGGTGTGGTCGCTCCAAGGCCATCACGGCTGCCTTGTTGCTGGTGGCCAGGATGATCTTCCGGTACCTAACATTTCGAATCAACCTCAACGCGCACCCAACAGCCGCAAGCTCGCCTGAGAACGGGTTTTGCTCCGACCTAGAGCCCAGCGTCGCACTGAAGGCTTCGTTCCTTGAGTCATCTCGTATCGGTAGCGGGAGACGGACGACTCCTCCGATCCCTACCACGTTGTTCCGTGCGGAGCTGCTTACGGCGATCCGGACCGCCCACTCTGTCTCTTTTTGCTGCATGCCTGTTCCGTCAACCGTAGTGCGGACTCGCCTCTCCCACGGTGCTAATACGACTGGAGCGATGGTTTCGAGGCTGTCCAATGGGACGTTCTTGAGGAGATCTGCTACCTGAAAGAAAGGCGAGCGGTAGGATCTCCGGAACTTGCGCATCCGGGAAGTGGTGTTGCGTAGTGGATTCGTGTCCGGTAGGGTGTGGATGACCGTCCACATTTTGATCGACCTCTTCCAGAATCGATCTTGGGCCGTGGGGATGTGAGCTTCTGCTTCTGCTACGCTTGTTGCTACCTTGCTGAACGTTCCTATGATCCCTTGCGCCGCGACCCTCTGCACTCTGTGTATGGCCGGCGCAGTCTTCCAATTGCACTGGTGCATCCAAACGCTGGAGGCATAGTCCACCACTGGCGCGACCATGGCGGTGAACAGCTGCCGCGCCGTAGCCGGGGACAGACCTCTGAGCCGTTTCAACTCCATCGCCGCGCGGAGCCCTTTGGAGGCCGCTCTTGCGATATGCTCCTTATACCTGAGCTTGGCATCTATGACCACTCCAAGGATCTTGACGTGGTCTCTCGGCTGAACATTTTGACCCTTGATGGTAAAGGGCGCCGAGTTGGCTTTGTAGGCCTTGCGGGTAAAGTGGATGACGGCCGTCTTGTCTGCTTCAAATGTCGCTCCACTTCTCTTTTCCCAGTCTAACGCTTGGTCGATGATTGCTTCGATCCCCTTGCGTGTGCTCTGTGCCGTCGGTCCTGTGACCCAGGCGGTAAAGTCATCGACAAAAGCTATCGCCCCACCGTTGCTATCAATCTTTCGCTGGACCAGATCCGCGTTGAAAAAGAGGAACAAGATAGGGGAGAGGGGCGAGCCTTGAGGCAGGCCAGCCTGTGGGAGACCCCGTCGTTCCGCAGCATGCCCGTTGACCTGGATAGAGGCCGTACGGTCAGAACAGAAATCTTTTGTCCATCGGCACAGCTCTTCCGGGATACCACGTTCCCTCATTCTCTGGACAAGCCGTTCCTTGTAGACTCCGTTGTAGGCTCCCTTGACATCGAAGCGAATGAGGCTGACAATCTTCCGTCCTCTCCAGGCCGTGTAGATCTGCTCCTGTAGAAACACCAGCGCCTGCTCGGCTGATCGCTGCTTCCGCGCGCCGAAGTGGTTGGTGGGCAGGAGGCCGTAGGTCTCCACGACGTGGGACAGCCGTTCCGCGATCACCGACTCCAGCACTTTGCCCAGCGTTGCTAGAAGGGAGATTGGTCTCCAAGCCTTTGCGATGGTGTAGTCCTCTTTGCCCGGTTTCTTGAGTGGGATGATCTTAGCATGCAGCCACTGGCTGGGAAGGACCCCGTCCTCCAGCGAGGTACGGAAGAGTGCCAGTACATGGTGCTTGACCAGCTGCCAGACTTCCTTCCACACCACTGCCGGCAAACCGTCCTCCCCTGGTGCCTTCCAGGACTTCATTGTGAACAGCTGTCGTTCGACTTCCTCCATCGTAAGGATAGGCATCCTGATAGGTGCCCTCTGCGGTTTTGGACCTTCATCGTCGATCGTATCGGGCAAGGCCGGGAAGAATCTTGTTAGGAGCTCTTCGGCCTGTTCTCTATGATCGGTCGTGGATGTACCATCTGCTCTAAAGAGTTGTGGGATCCTTCCAAACGTGGTATCGTCTCCGGATTTTAGATACTTTGCAGCCTTCCAAATGTTGTCGTTATCCGCAAGGAACTCGGTCTAGTGCTTCTTCTTCTGCTGCCGGATAGCATCGTGGTATTGTTTTGCTGCGCCCTTTGCCAATTCCTCAATCTCGACTGTAGTCCAGCCTGCCCGGCGTTCCGAGCGAGCGCAGTTCCTCCAGTGTGTGTAGATGCGACGTAGCTGCGTCAGGTCCGTGGTCCACCATCGCTTTGCGTATGGCGATGGCCGGGCTTTGGGAGTGAGGGAGTGGAGTAAGCCTGAGACAGCGGACATCAGGCGGTCCTTTCTCTGCTGGACTGTGCCCTTCGCTGGGGTGTTCCCTAGTGTAATTGCAATTTTGGCCCTGATGTCTTTCCATGGCGCGTTTTTGAGAAGCAGTCGGTCATGGTGCGTCGGTATAGGTATCTCAACATCGAAGACTGTTTCGATCGTGCGGTGATCTGAACCGTGTTCCGTTCCATGGACTCCACACCTGATCACAGCTTCTGTCAGTTCCTCCGAGGCCAGGATCAGGTCGATGGTCGAGCCGTATCCACCTGCTTGCCATGTTAGTGCCCCTCGGGAGTAGGGTGCTCAGAGTCAGCTCGTTCATGAGATCGATGATAGGGTCGGCTTCCCCTTGTCTCACGGAGGAGATGTCGTCTCCTCCCCACAGTTGGTCGTGGCAGTTGAAATCACCTGCAACCACTATATCCACTGTCGTTCCTACGCCCCGTTTCGCCTTTGCTACCGTTCTGCGGAGGTTCTCGCAGGTGTCCTTTAGTGCCTCGCCGTCCCCACATGGTACGTAGACGGACGCGACCAAGACTACGCGCTCCGGGAGCCGTATGACCGCTGCCGTGATGTCCGGGGAGTCCACTGCCACTTGCTCCGCTTCCACGGTTTTGTTCACCCAGAGCATGCTCCGGATAGCCCATCTACCTTCCTTCAACGTGCACGGGACCATCTTGGTCCATTTGTGATGATCCATAGGGGTCGTCAGGAGCCGTCCTTGGATCCTCCGCGCCTGGGGTTCCTGAATGGCTATGACGGCAGCGTCCTGGATTGCCACGTCGTTCATCAAACTGGCATGTACCTCCCCTTGCTTTCTGACGTTCAATTGGATGATCCGAAACGTCCTATTCATGACGAGATGGATAGAGCTTCCGGCAATTCTTGCTGAACGATTCATGTGGTCCTCCGCAAAGGACGCACTTCGGTATAGCTGCTGAGCACTCGCTGTGACGGTGGCCCTCGCTGGCGCACATTCCGCACACTTGAGGGTTCCTGCACTGGAAAGCTTTGTGGCCAATCTGCTGGCAGTTGCAGCACTGGTTCGGCCGTGTCCGGCGTTCGAAGACTCCCGTGTATCCCGATTCGCCTCTGGCGTGGAAGAAGCCCTCGTTGATGATCCTCTTAGCGTCGCCAGCTTTGGTGATATATACCACCATCGATCCATACGCCTTCGCAGTGTCCTTCCGGCTCAACCAAGCCAGCTTGGCGATCTGCACGTCGTTCTCTCGGCCCAGGGTTTCCGCCGCTCCGGGGAGTACCTTGCCTTCAGGGTCGAGAACAGCCGTACGATTGACGTTGTCAACTTTAACTGGGTACAGCTGGTCACGTAGGACCTGCGCACCCGGCGCCTTCTTCGCTTCGATGATGCCCTTGATCCTCTTTACTTCCGCTTCGTTCCTGCCAATGATTCTAAGGCGGTTGATGTTTCCTCTGTCTCTGGTGACGGCAAGACAACGCCACTTAAATTGATCTCCCGGCGCTCGCATCTCGTTCTCGATGAGCTTGCGAAGGGCCACAGGTGTAGCCTCTTCGACGTGTTCCTCCGGTACCCTAGTCATGTCTATAGTGTAGAACGCTGGCTCTGGCGTAGTCGTCCGGCTTGCGGAGGATGTCAGACTAGGACCGCTGGTAGGAGGTGTACATCGGGCGACATCCGCATACGCCGGCCGAGCCGGAGGGGCTTCCTGAGCCTCGTTCATGGCGTGGGGCTGCAGTCTGGCGTCCTCGAGCTCGCGGCGGGCTTGGATGAGTTGCTCTCGCGCTTGCGACAGTTCTTCGGTCAACTGGGCCGTCATTTTGGCCATTTCTTCTGCCATGTGATCCCTGAGCTTTTCGAATTGAAGCTGAAATTCCGTTTTGATAGTGTCCAATTTATTTTCGAAGTTGCAGTCCGCGGGTTGCTCTTGGCCCTGGATTCCCTCTCCTACTCTCTCGGCCGCTGCGGCCCGAATTGTGCGGTTTCTGTGGTTTCTCAACATTCTCTCACTGTTATTTTCCTCCTCCCAGTCCATATTGTTTTCTTGTTGCATTGCTTCCATCGCCCTCGTCGTTTTCACCCTTTTGCGCTGGGGCCGGCGATATCCCACTCCTGGAGACCCCGAATCACCTCTCATGACGTCAATGACGTCTGAAGCGCCGCGCGCCGCACCTGGCATCTGGAAAGACAGAATCTTCAACCAGCTGCCTCAAAAGACGCGAAGATCAATATAGCACAGATTTGTTTCAAAGAGATGTTCTACTTTCCATATCAAATCAGGTATACTCACACCCAAAATGGGCAGCCGGGCCACCACCTCAACAGTACCTCGCCGTATTCGTTGTACCCACCGAATAGGTAAGGTACCTTTAGTCATCCGGTAACCAGGCAATTTTCCAACACAAAGGCACTCTCACGCGGTCCTCCCAAAACCACCCCTTGTTTGTGTAGAGAACATGCTGATATCCAGCACGGCGGGGTTCCCCCACCTCGAGGATAACGGGTTTGACATCTCTCTCAACATCTCCATAACCACCGCGCGTCGTTGCCGCCGATAGAATTGAACCCGGTCAGGGATCTGCCCAACGTCGAAGCCCATTCCGTCATTCCCCTCCCTGCCCTCGTTCCTTTCGTCCTCCGACTCCCCTCCGGATTCCTCCCTCTCTTTATGCTTCTTCCACCACCTATCCCCTGCCAACAACTCGTTATCATACAGCTCCATCTCCCCCCCATAGCTAAAGTTGAAATGATCCAGCACCGCATCAAACTGCTCCTCGTTCTTCTTATCCTTCCATATGTAGTCCCCCCACTCATCCAACCACCCGAGCCGCTCCATCACCGTCAGATCCGCCGTATTCATCGAGAGGTAGAACTCGTTCTCCGACCGCCTCACCCCCTCCCCGCCCTCCTCCTTCCTCCCACCCATGTGGACGCCGCGCGCCTCAAGCGCGCGGCGTTCCTCGTTCGGCACCCACGAGCGGTGCACGATGCTCCATATCTTGAAAAGCGCGCCGGCGGGGTTGAGCAGATAGTCGTACGAGAAGTCGAGTTCCCGCCGCACGGGGCGGTAGTGGTCGATCCAGTGGAAAGCAGCGTACTTGAAGAAGGCGCGCGGCGGGTCGTTGCCGATCTTCTTGAGGTGCTCGCCCACCGTCTTGCCAGTCCACTGGGTGGTGTCTTGGGTGTGCGCGTCTTCGAACCGGAAAAGTGCGAGGTAGTCAGCGCAGGTGCGGAGAAGGAGACGGTTGGCGTCTTCGAGGCGAATTGAGTGCCGCCAGGTGGGCTTTGGCCGGCTGGTAAGGGTAGGAGTGAGTTTCTCGTTAGTTGTGGAGCGCGCTGTAGCTTTTACCCCGTCTTCGCTGTGTTCTCCCTTTCCTCGTCTTCGCCGCCGGTCTTGGAGAGGCGGGTCTTCCGGGCTTAGGGCCATCCACGCATCCACATCATCGAGATTTTTTAACTCTGGCTTTGCGAGGAGAAACTCCCGTGCAGTCTGATGGACAAGGTAGACTTTGCCGCCACGGACTCTCAGGAAATGACCGCAGAGCTGGCGCAGGTGGTTAATGAACGGTTTGTGCAAGAGCTTTCCAAGCTGGTTGAGACTTCGAACTGCAGAGGGCGATTTGATGTCAGCCGAAACAACACTGGATTCCTCAACTTCGGCCGTGGTTGGTCTTGCTTTTCCGGGCACACTATTTGGTTGAGTGCCAGCCAGTTCCATTTCCAGCCACAGCTCGGAATATAAAGTTTGGTTGCCCTCCCTAGGTCTTGGCCGTTGAATTTTGACCTTTTCGCCTACGTGGATATCTGAGTGGGCGTGGTCTGCCAACAGTGTTCGAGCCGCCGCGTCGCCATCTACTCTGGAAAAGTGGTCCTGGTGGACTTCGATGGCGGTACACATCTCCTTCAAGCTGAGCGGTCGAACGGCGGCAAGCACTAGCATTAAAGCTTTTCGGGCTTTGAGGGGAAGTGAATTCCTGGAGAGAAGCCTCTCGTAGACGTCGTCGAGATGTGTTGTGTTCAAGATCCACTCGAGTTGGGCCATCGAGATGCCATCGACTCGCGCGTCCTCGACGAGTTTGATTACGAGTGAGATCCAAAGAAATGTATAGTCAGCCCCGCTGATTAGCCTCTCCTCGAGACTAGCAAGCATGCCTGAAGAGAGTTTCGAGGTCCCTCCAAACTCGGAGATCTTGGAACGAACAAATCGCGCGATGTCTTTCCCGATGGCCTTGGTCTGTTCTTCAGCGATGAGTCTAAACCTATTGCGGTTGCCTGAGGGCTTGGACGTTCTTTCATCCCCACGCACGTCGGCTTCATCGTCTTCTCTCTGTCCATCAAGTCGAAGTGTCTGCTCTATTTTGTTATGAGGCCGACTTAAGAGGATCACCTTGAGGCGAGTTCTGGGTGTGCGGGGGTCGCTGGCGGAACTGTGGTTGAGGTAGGCGACTACCCCTTTGAGGAGCTCATCGAGGGATTTTGGTTCGCACTCATCGAGGCCATCTAGGATCCACACCATCTCCTGCATCTTGGGGTCCTGGAGGACAGCCATCAATACGGACCACAGTGAGAAGCAGCGGTTAAATGTCCGCTTGGGCATGCTGGTGAACTTTGCCATGACATGCTTAATAAGCCGTCGTTGCGAGGAGCATAGCTGATGTAATACAGCGGACACGGCTGCTGATGCGTTGTCCTGGTCCTCGAGTCCATCCTTGAAAAAGAAATAACAGATGTTCCTTGTCCGGCAAGAAGCTGGTAACGACAGAAGGTGATTGACGAGAAACTTGGCGGCAACAGACTTGCCGCAGCCAGCGTCGGCTGTGATCCAGAGGAGTGCCGATCCCTGCAACATGTTCCACTCGCGCCACGTCTCGTGGGAAACGACCCATTCGCATGTCCCAGACACCGGATCATCAACTTGATCAAGGTGGTTTCCGTAATCCGAGTTAAGATTTCTCATACAGCGTTCCTCACTGACGCTGAACGCTAGACGCTGTTAGGATGTCAGGTTCCCTATTTGAACACCTTGACGAGGAGTACTTACGAGCATCGTCATCCTCTAACGGATCACCAGCGAGCTCAGAAATGGCAAAGACGGCGTCCTGATATCGTTGGTTAGATGACGAGGGGAACTTGACGAGGTCGGTGTGGTTTGCGGCAGCGGCAATAGCGAGCTCGTTTGGCCACCCGAGCGTGGCAGATTGTGGCTCAACCACGCGACTGTTGAGGCCCGTCATGCGTTCGGTCTCGTAGAAAGTCCTGATGTTGAACTTGCCGCCCCTGTGGGCAAAGGAGTCGGTGATGTCTTTTAGCATCTTCGCATTGACCTTTAGGTTTTTTGACATCTTGGCGTTGCCCAGATATCCAAGGGTGCCGATGTGTGTCAGGGACGTTCCGATTCGGTCCCAGAAGGCCAAATCTGAGCCACAATGGGGGGTACCGAAGAACACCACGCCGCGGATGTTATCCAAAACGGTCGAGTAATGGTCATTCTGCTCATGTGCCAGAATGACAGCCTATAGATTCGTCAGTTTGTCCCCGAATCCGCCTCATGTTGGCTAGGCGCCGGTGCAGTCTTTCCTTACTTGCTTGAATACAAGCCCTCCCAGACTATGACACAGGAAGATGATGGGCCTATTGTTTTCAGCGCGGCCCCGCCTTTTAGACTTGATAGCCACCAGCAATCCAGATGCAAAATCGCGCACATCAGCCTCTGAGCGACTGAAGTACCTGGCTGAGTTGTAGCCGAAGGTCATGATGCGGGCATTGGGAACGTCGTTTGGAAGGCATCTCTCGTCACTCAGCCAGTTTACTCCCGTTGTCTTGTCGGTCCAGGTCGTGAGCAGATTGCCACCAAGCCCATGAAGTGCGATAATATCAACGCATCCGACGGTATCAGCCGACTTGGTAATGAGGACCCTCAGGCCTTCCGAAAGATTCTCCTCTTCTTCCCTCGTGATTGTCTCCGCGCTGGCCGCATTCGAAGGCCCTAGAGCAGCCGTTGATCTCTCTGATTGAACTTCAACTGTGGGTGCCGAGGCGGGCTCAGCTGCTGGCGTGTCAGATGACGCTGGAGCGCCTTGCGGATCACCTGATCCGATGGTGCCCAGGGATGCCCGACCCTCCTTAGCCGGTGTTTTTGTCTTGTTTTTCTTGAAAAAACGGCGAAGGTGATGCATGCTAGTTCGCTTGCCGCTGTCGCTGAGGAGAGAAATGGAGGTGAACGGGCAGCTGGCATTCAGCGGGGAATGTGCCGTACGCAAGGCTCTGGGGCGCAAACCTAGCTGAAAGATAGGAATCCTAGACCAGCCCGCACGTGATTGAACTCGACGACAAGGAGCCGCCTATGGAAGACGATAGCCGCGAACACAATAAACCGGGCGAACGGAAAAAACCCGGGACCAGGTTCGCAAACACGAAGTTAACGGTAAGTTAAACTTTTGAGAAAGTCGAGCGGCACTGCCGAAGGACGGCGAAATGGCGGGGTCGGCGCAGGACCAGATCGTGGTCGAGGTGGCCGACCAACCATCCCCGCTGAAGCGACCGAGCGGCGCCCCGAAACCGAGTGCGAAAGTTCGCGAAGCCATGCAACCGATCGAAGACGCAACCACCGCGTCGAGAAGGACTACGAGCGATGCTACGCGGACCGTCGCTTCGAGAGGAACACGCGCACTGGGAGGCGGGAACGCGACCAACAACGAGGTTGGGACCGGGAAGACAGCGCTACAGACACTCCTAGAGGTGCTCAATGCACAGCGAAACGAGATGCGCGATACAATCACTGAACTACGCGACCTGGTCAGCAAGCAGCAGAACACGATTCAAGAGTTACACCATCAGCTCCAGGAATACCAACGTCAAATGGAATGCGCCCTAGCGAACACAAAGGCACAGCTATCAGAGGAGCTGAGGCAAGCTCGAGACCAGATCGACGTCCTTCTACGCAACCCGGTATTCACGGCCTCGCCCTAGCTAAGCGCAAGAGCATCGTACGCCGAAGTCGCTCGCACCCCACCATCAAGCGAACCAAGCCACTGCGTGAGTTTTCGTTAATTTATTCCTACCCCCACCCATCGGTGTAGTTTGAGCTTGAGAAAGGGGACGGCTGTTGACGAAGGCTTCCAGTTACACTACGCTGTTGGTTGTTTCCATTGCCAACACCAACGGTGTCTTCACGACAGGCACCACGGAGGCCGCATGTAGCAAAACAGGCGAGGCTCAGATAGCAAGCATTTGTAGCCGTTGATGGGTGTTGACGATGTCGTTAATACTAGGCCCAGCGCTCTGAGCCCCCAGCCGACGTGGGACTAGGACTGGGCCTCGCAACATTGCATGTCTTGAAGTGCTCATACCAGAGCACCATATTGATAATGAGGGACTGCAAAATCCTGTTAGGAAATGGGGTTATTTCTCTCTTGGTGGTGTTCAAAGGAGTCTAGACGGGGTTGGAGCAATACTGCGAGGCCCAGGAGGGCAGAGGTTAGGTAACTGTTGGAAAGCCAACAGCTACGAATTGACTGTACCAAGGTGATTGGGTGCCAAAAGGTGATGAAAGAGGGGCAACCAGTCCATTGATGATGATGTCTGTGTCTCTGTGTCTCTGTCTTGTTCCCACAGCCGCGGGCCTCGCCCTGATCCTGAAAATACTAATGCCCAGCCACTACAGATTAGTTACCCCTGAATTGCCCTCCTCACCGCCTTCCAAATCCAACAGTAACCAACGGGCGATCGAAAAGGGGTCGGTCTTCGCCACAGAAAGAGATGGCGCAGCGTAGTTAACACGAATATTTGCTGATTAATTACTCACAACCCATGGTCCGGGTATCAAATATTTCCTGTTGTTCTATATTCCAGCCTTCCCCAAACTACCTCTGCTTTGCGCCATGCGCGGAGCCTAGGAACGAGATAGTTACCGTGTTGTTGGAGCTTGTCGTCACTGAAACGGAATTAAGAAACGGAATTAAAAAACGAAAAAGCAAAAACTGAGCGGGCATGCAGGCAGAGCTCTTCACACGTGATTTGAGGCTTGCTGAGTCAGTAATTTCTCCCAAACTCAGATTCGCATTTTTGCCCTCCTTCCAAAAAGAGTGTTGCTCACAAGGTGGTCCGCTTGGCTGCCAGGAACAGAGACAGAAAACTTGGGGGCAAAATACAAAAGGCAAAAAAAAAAAAAAAAAGAAAAAAAAATAGTGGACGGACTGCTGCCTAACCCGGGGATGGCCCGTCCCTTCCTTTGTGTTGACCGTCAAGGTTCTTTCTTTTCTGCTTCTATTTTGGTGGATTCGGAAACTCGACAAACTCGACAAACTTCGGCTCAGATGCGACGCCACGGGACAAAAACCTGGAGTGACAGGAATGCTTCAACAGCAAAACAACACCCCCATGCAAAGATGCACCATGGCTCGGCTCCTATCTCTTGGGCCCGCTTGTGAGAATAACCGGACCCATCGCCGTGCGCCGTGCCGCCCCGACCAGATCTTGCTTAGCCGTGCTGTTCAGGGCTGGCTCAACCGGCCGATAAGGCATACACTGCGTTGGCACTCGGTACTTCCTCCTTTAGGTACCTAGGGTATGCATGTTATGGATGTACCCAACCTTCGCTTTCAGCACGTCTTCCTTCGCCATCAGGCTTCCGGGTTGCGGAATTTGCTGTATCCTCGGAACTGGGAAGCTCGCTTCACTACCCCGCAGCCCACACCACAATTGGCAAGCACCCGGACGAGTTTTCCTGGCTGCCTTCATGTTCGCCCCCCAGGCGGGCAAGGTGTGGTGACAGTGAAACCGGCCAAGCAAGATGCAACACTCGGCCCTGTGGTGGTACCCCTCCAGGGACGGCATGGGGGACTGATAAAGCTAAAAGGATTCGACGCCCGTCAACTCCACCGCCGATGCACTCTCTCTGCAGGCCGAGCTTGCCCCTTGCCTACCACGTGTGGTGCATATGGGCTTGCATCCATCGCTGACTCTTCGCCCTGGTCCATCTGTGGTCCATCTGTGATGACGATGCCGCTGGCTCGGCTTCCGCTTGGGCAATGCTGGCTGCTGCAAGCCGCTGCTGCAAGCTGCAGTGCACGGCCGACGCCGGCCACCCGGCGCATTCCGCCTGGTCCGTCTCGGAGTTTGGGCGAACACAGGCGAAGAAGATTCCCACGACCGACCTATTTCCCCGTCCCGTTCTGAGATCATCCTGCAATCTGCGCCTTCCGGTCTGCCGCGGGGACGAGCACCAGGAAAGCCGATCACCAAGCTGTTCCTCAGCACCTGACCCTCTGATCGGACCGTTACCGGCGCCCATCGCTGCCCCCGTTAAGGTACTGCGTTGGCCCCAAGTGGGACTTCCACAGGGATTGCTCGATTTCCAGCCGGATTCTAGCGGCCTCCACAAGCCGGACAGCCAATCCCGGCAAACCGATTGCGGTGACGGGCAGCGGTCAAGGTTTCGTCGTGTGTCGTCAGGGTTTGCTCACCGAAAACATTGGTCCCGAGAGAACAGATGGAGCTCGTCATCCGGCGCTCGGTTGTGCTGGGGAGGAGTCCTGCTCTCTTTGCTAGCGCTTCCTGGTCAAGCGTCGCCCTCCACTTCCTGCCATGTGAGGAGGCCAAAGCCACTAGGAGTGCAGACACCAGTCTTCGCCCAGAGGAAATTCTCGCGGTATCCCCGGCTGTGGTATATCTGCCACCGCATTGCCCGTCCCGCTAAGACACCTGCCAACTTTCCCCCTTTCACCCCAACGGCTTACATCGGGCTTACATCGGGCTCTTCCCGTCACTGACATTTGTTTGCCCATATCTACTTTGTTGTCGCTCACCCGTGTGTTTGCCATATCTGCTTTGTCGTCACTCGCCCCTGTCCGGCATATCCTGCCCATAAAACCGTGCTTGACCAACGTAGCTGACGGGCTCAGTCCTCGACATCATCATCATCATCATCATCATCATCTCATCAATATCTCCTGAACATAACCTCAACATCTGAACCACATGGCGCCTCACGCAGACGAAACTCCGTCGGGCCGTAATAGTGGCGAGAATGAGCACGGCAACGGTCATAGTGGTGACCGGAACGTGCCCAGATCGGGCGACTACCTCCAATTCGAGTCCCTCCCGCCCGGCGGCCCGCTCAACCGCTGGTCCCAGGTGTTGACGAGAGGCCATGATTTCCCCGGCGCCCAGGTGAGTATCTTATTTATGGAAGGACACATCTCAGGTTCGATGGGGTCGAACATGGTCGAGGATGTCTGGGGAGCTTCCGGATGTGGCGATGATAGCCTGATGAGAGCTCCTCAGGGGTAAAGGGGCATGGGATGCGTTTTTGACGTTATGCTGCACCGAGGGACGAACTGACACTTATGGCGCCTGTCTTAGGCTATGCTTTACGCTGCAGGTGTCCCCGACAGGGACATGATGAAGAATGCGCCACATGTGGGCATCGCCACCGTGTGGTGGGAGGGGAATCCGTGCAAGTAAGTACCGTGAATGCCTCGCTCTCTTGCCGGACGAAGCTGACCAAAAGTTGCCAGTACCCACTGTGAGAGATGGTCCCCAGCTGTTGTCTTTGAGAGCATGTGCTGAACCAGGAGTTAGTGCTCGAGCTCGGCACCATTGTAAAGAAGTCCGTCGAGCAGCAAAAAATGCTCGCATGGCAGTATAACACCATCGGTGTTTCTGACGGCATCACAATGGGCGGAGACGGTGAGTAAACAACTCCTCCCCCTTACCCCTGAGCAGGGGTACGGCTTTTACCGTATGACGGCTCACGTCGGGACAGGCATGAAGTTCTCGCTCCAGTCGAGAGAAATTATCGCCGACAGCATCGAAACGGTTACCTGTGCTCAACGGCATGATGCCAACATCAGCATCCCGGGCTGCGATAAGAACATGCCAGGCGTCGTGATGGCGGCTGCGCGCCACAACCGGCCGTTCCTCATGATCTACGGCGGCACCATCCGCAAGGGCCACTCCAACCTCCTCGACAAGCAGATCAACATCTCGACATGCTACGAAGCCGCTGGCGCTTTCGCCTACAACCGCCTAGAAGCCAAGTGCAAGAAGCCCTCGGGCGCCGACGCGACCCCGAGCGACGTCATGGAGGACATCGAGCGACATGCATGCCCTGGCGCGGGCGCTTGCGGCGGCATGTACACAGCCAACACCATGGCCACAGCCATCGAGGCCATGGGTCTGACTCTACCGGGATCCTCGTCCTTCCCGGCCACATCCCCCGAGAAACGCCGCGAGTGCGAGCGCGCCGCCGAGGCCATCCGCACCTGCATGGAGAAAGACATCCGGGCGCGCGACCTCATGACGCGCTGGGCCTTCGAGAACGCTCTCGTCGTAACTATCGTCCTCGGCGGCAGCACCAACGCGGTCCTCCACTTCCTCGCCATGGCCAACTCAGCCGACGTCCCCCTCACCCTCGAAGACATCGCCCGCACCTCCAACCGCACCCCCTTCCTCGCCGACCTGGCTCCCTCCGGCCGCTACTACATGGAAGACCTCTACGACGTAGGCGGCACCCCCGCCGTCCTCAAAATGCTCATCGCCGCCAACCTCATCGACGGCAGCATCCCCACCGTCACGGGCAAAACCCTCGCCGAGAACGTGCAATCCTGGCCCTCCCTCCCCCCCACGCAAACCATCCTCCGCCCGCTCTCCAACCCCATCAAACCCACCGGCCACATCCGCGTCCTCCACGGCAACCTCTCCCCCGGCGGCGCCGTCGCCAAGATCACCGGCAAGGAAGGCCTGTCCTTCACCGGCTCCGTCCGTGTCTTCAACAAAGAACAAGCCCTCAGCGACGCGCTCGCCCAAAACACCATCCGACCCGACGCCGGCAACCTCGTGCTGGTCGTCCGCTACGAGGGCCCCAAGGGCGGCCCCGGCATGCCGGAGCAGCTCAAAGCGAGCGCGGCGATCATGGGCGCGGGGCTGACCAACGTGGCGCTGGTGACGGACGGGCGGTACAGCGGCGCCAGCCATGGGTTTATCGTGGGCCATGTAGTGCCGGAGGCGGCGGTGGGGGGCCCGATTGCGCTGGTGGAGGAGGGGGATGTGGTGACGATTGATGCGGTTGGGAACCGGATTGATGTGGTGGAGATTCCGGGGGTGGGCGCCGGTGGGGACGTGGTGGGGAGGGAGTTGGAGCGGCCGGAAGGAAGGGCGTGGTCGCCGCCCAAGATGAAGCCCACGCGTGGCGTGCTGGCGAAGTATGCGAGGTTGGTGGGTGATGCGAGTCATGGCGCGGTGACGGATGTGGGGGGGTCGGCGTGGTGAGGGCGGGTGTGAAGGAAAGGGGTGGGGTGTTGGCGGTTGGGGGGGGGGATAAGATTGTTTCTGATCTGTACGGACCTAAACAAAGTAGAGAGAAAGAGGAAAAGGGACCGGGGCCCGGCAAAGAGTGGATGGGAAAGGCATGTATAGGGTGGGTGGGTTGGTGGCGGCGATAGACGCGGGTTGGTTGGTTCGGTTTGGTTGGGAACGGCTCGAGCAAATAGATTGGATTGGCATTAGAGCCGCAGTTTTTCTCTTATATCTCGGCCAAGTTGCTGCATGTTGGTTGGGTGGGACGTGAGGCTCTTCAGGTGGGAGGGCTGTCCAAAGTGAGGAGAGCAAGATATCAACAGAATGTAAACACACACGTAGACATCTAACAAAAACATCAACGCGCAGCAATCACTCTTTCTATTATGTACACACCCCCGCAACACCAAACTAGAACCAAAAGAATAACAGCAAGCAGCAGCATCAGCCAGTAAGGGATTAAAATTCCATACGTCTCCATCTATTCCCAACGCACTAAGCCCACTCCGGTCATAACAACGACAATGATAATGACAATATCTCTTTCCGTTACACGCCACCCATAGACAACACACGCACACACGCACATTGACGACGACACGCCACCAACACGCCACCCCGAATACCAAACAAACAAAGCAAGCAAGCTATTACCAACAGCCGCGCCGCACGCAGCGCAGCGCAGGACAGGGTGATGGTATCCTATCCTATGTCCATCCGTATTGCTCCTTTTCCCCCACGCCGCCACCACCACGCATGCATACACTCCGCCGCGATCATAATTGTACGTATATGACGGATAAACTAGTCGTTAAAACTCTCTCAAGGGCTAGCCCACCCGCCGGCAACATCGACCCACTCCGCGAGACAGCTCCCCTCCTTGCCCTCGACGTCCACGATATCCGTGTCGCAGCGGCAGCGGCAGCCGACGCCGTTCTCCTTGGGGGTGTCGTACTCCTCCCAGTACTGGTCCTCCTCGAGGCGTTCGCGCTCGTTGAGCGTCGTCTTCTCGAGCCAGGGCTGGCGCGGCAGCTGGCGCGTCGGGGCGTTGGCGGGGCAGTGCTGGATGGTGGTGTGGCGGTAGCCGAAGTCGCGGAAGTAGTGGATGTCGCGCGGGGCGAGCAGCGCGCCGGCCGCGAGGGAGTGGATCGGGGCGTCTCCCCACTGTTTCGGGGTTTGTTAGTATCGGTGGTATAAAATTGGGGGGCAGGGGTAAGAGGAAAGGGGCGAGGGACGGGGCGAACGTACCCGCTCCATCCAGAAACCGCCGCTGCGGTCCATCATCTGGAAGAAATCCTCGTACTGCTTGCTCCGGAAAAAGTCGAGCCGGGCAATCTCAAAGTTGGACCAGAAGTGGCACATGTTGTACGACTCGCCCTCCATGCCCTCCGGGTCGACGTTGGGTAGGCGGGCCTGCTCATTCTCTGACACCTTCTCCTTCTTTTTCTCGGGCTGCGGCTCGACAAACATCTCCCACAGACCCTGCGACGAGATGTTGTTGAGGCGCTTGTAGGCCGAGGCGTAGCGGAAGATGTTGGGGACTGTCTCGCGCAGTTCTTTGACGGCAATGGTGAAGCCGTACGTCTTGTTATGCTCGATCATCTGGAGGAAGGGGTCACTGCAAGCAAGTCAGTGGGCAAGCGGGGACGAAAGGGGGGAAAGGAGGCCGTACTAGGTAATGTCGCAGAAGTACTTGATCTCGGGCTCCAACCGCCAGTACCACTCGTATTTGGCCAGAAGCGGGTGCTTGTAGAAGAAACTGCGCCAGTTAGCATCCAGCGGGGCACGGGAAAGCCGGGGTGACATACCCCGAGTAGAAGCGGCACATGAAATGGTAGCTTTCCATGCCGCCGTACATGATGGCGTTGTCGCCTTGCTTGTTGACGCCCTCCTTGGCGACCTTGGGGTCGATCCAGTCGGGGTATCCCCACATGTCCGGACCGACCTTGCCAAACTCGACGGTGGCGGAGGTGTAGTTCTTGACGGTATCGATGAAGGTCTGGTTGAAGTCTCCGTCGTTGAGGAAGACATAAGGGTAGTTGTACCAGCGGTTGAAGTGGCGCTCAATCGACTTCATTGACTGGATCACACCGTCGAGCTCCTTGTTCCGGGCGAGCACAACGAAGGCGGCATTGGCGCGGGGCTTGCTGGTGTCGGGCTCGAGGCAGCCCGTGACGAACACTTTGTCGTGTTTCTCGCTGATTTTTCTGCAAAGTCTTCGTCAGCATGGCTGTTGCGCAACGGCAGAGGTAGAGGGCGACGAACCTTATCGCCGGCGGTGCGCCAGCGGGCATTAGTATCCTCCCTGATGAACTGGGGTGCCGGACAAACAGCACCAGGATAAGGATGACAACGATGCAGGGAAAGAGAATGACCACCCCTAGCGGCACGAGATGGTCGAGTTGCCTCTTAACCTCAGCGGGGCGTTTGAGGTAGG